GATTTTTGCCATCCGATTATAGTTATTTCAATTTGTACTATATTATATTATTTTGCAATATTCTCTCATTTCATCTTTAAATTGTTTATTTTATTTTAATATTATTATTTTTTTGTTTTTTTGTTTTGTTTTGTTTTGTCATTAATTCTTATTATTTATTTTAATTGTTGTTATTAATACAAGCACATGACGTTTGCGCCCTGCTTGGCCGGTTTTCAATAAATAAATATGTTCACGAATAAGCATATTCGTAAACTAATTGTATTGATGAATATTTTAATATTTTAATTTTATCAATTCACTGCCAATTGCCAGACTTTACTATACCTTGAATATATATCTTGGATCACTCTAATCCCCAATAACCAGGTAAAAGGCGAAATTATAAAAGAAGCAAGACTTGAATTGAGTCAGATAAAATTTTGATCGTATTGACCAACGATATATGGACTTAGACGGTGGAAAAAGAAATGGCTTCAATTACAATCAACGATCAGATCGAGCAGGCCACTCTAGCCAATAATAGTTAGAAAAGAAGAAAAAAAGAGAAAAAAATGAGAATAAAGGTGAAAGAACCCTGTATTTTGAAGTTAATTTTACTCGAAATGTCTTCTGAAGAAGAAATTATGTCACATAATAAACGACTGATTGAAGACATTCTGAAAGAATCCCAATTGTGAGATTCATCGATATGACAGTATCGTCAAAACCAAGGTTACTCAAAGTGAAGTTGAAACTTTTGGCATCATTTAACTTTGCTCGTCTTATGCGATGAAATGCACCCGCGCAATTTTACCAATGCTCATTTTTACGCAAAAACTTAACTTTTAAACAGACTGAAAGACAGAAAATTTTGCAGGAATGTTTTCTTCATAATTAGCAAATCAATCAAAGGGAATATGTGGTTAAAGAACCGTTGAATTAAAATCGCTGAAAATTGAAATCGCTGAATTTGCTGTCACAAAGAATAAAACTGCCAAAGCAAAACAATGCCAGCTAGGAGTTCCGACGAGCTGTGCATTGTGGGTCATGTGGAATTAGCTTCTTTTTCTTTACCATTATGTGCATGCAATTTATAACATGAAAATACCAATGAAAATGTAAGCCTTACTGATAATTATTCTCTTGATAATATTAAAATATATTTGTTTTTAATATTCTCAAAAATCTTAAAAATCTTATCATTATGTGTATGCTGGACCTGATAATGTCTCCCAGATTCTCTACACTGCTCTCCTCAACTTCTCTAATTTTTCATTTATTTTTTATAAGACGTTTTTTGTTTCACCAGTTCTTAATAACAATATGTGCTATTCTCCTCGATTTAAAAAATCCATTAAGCTTATCGAAGAACGGCTGCAGAACTAATAGTTAAATAGTTTTCACTGGTGACTAAATTACCTATGAAACAAGGATTAAGAGTTATTTAATTTAAATTCACTACGCATAATAAGATGGTTCAAAAGGATTTAAAAGGATTTATATGCAAAATTTTACATAGCTAAATTAAAATAGACCGTAAAGTCCTGTAATGTATGCCTCAGTACTAGGCTGAGTGGATTAAAACTATTAAAATCTCAGAAATAATAATTTCTTTGTTCCTTTATGGAATAAACTATCTATGAATTCATTCTATATGCTCCATCAATAGGTAAGCAATTTTAAAAGACTGATAAATAATTGATAAAGGCTAATATTCTAATAATTTTAAACCTTCGATTAGATTTAGAATGAGCCATATTCTTGAGTAATCTACTCCAGTAATCTGTAGTAAAAACGAAGCCAGCTCACTCATTAGTTTTCTAGAAAGGTTTAAATAATTCATTTGATTATATCACAATTTATTCGTAAATTTTTAACATTAAATCTAACTTTTCATTAATGATCATGCAAAATCTAATACGTTTCTTCGAGTTAACTGAATATTTATTAAAAGAATTAAACGGAAGGATTAGTGATGCGTAGAATTTTACATTTATCGAAAAAGGTTGTTTAATGCCATGAAGCCATATTGTTTGTATCATCTCATGATAACCGATTCACTTCTCTACGAAGACGTAATAAGGCAAGCAGTCATCAGCATATGAATACTTATTAGAATTCGATGAAATTTGCTAATATCGGGAGATGAAACTTATTTATAAGCAAGCAATTTGGTGAATATTATCTGCTCCTGCCCAAAATCAAAGTTTCAAATATAATATATAAATATAATTAATATCTCAATATTAATATTTATATCTGCTTTTATTGTTTTGCCACATTTTATACGTGCTGTCATTGATTGTCTTTTTATAGTTCCAAGCTTATAACTATATTTGTCAAATTCCTGGTTTGTACATAAATAAATAAATAGTTACCATAACCTGATACGAATATTCGCTTTCTTAAATATTTACACATATTTTGGTATATTTTTGTTTTTAATACAAATAGAATGAAATGACAATTCAAGAAGTACGCAAAACGAGTCTAATAATGCGATACATCGCACGAATCACTCGACCCACATATATATGTCGGAAATTTATGGTGATCTCTTCTCATAAAACTTTTCTATTTGCTTTACAAAAGTAAATTTTCGCAACTTTGCTCATAGGATTTTTCTTTGGCAAAATTGGGTTTTTTTGGTGATGTTGGTTGGCGATTTTCGATTCGATTTTCGAGGCCATAATTTTTTGCAAAAATATAAACCAGAGCTTGGAGTTTTCGAACAAGTCCTTATAATATAATATATAATCTTGAATAGTTTTGATGACTTAATTAGGCATCAAAAAAAATTTATAATACGAAAATTCTATTGTATTCATTTTTCCATTTCAGTAAATAAACTCTGCGCTGCATTTAAAAATTCTCAAGAGCCATTTTAAAAATCGATTTATAGTAAATGGGAAATGGGTAGTCCGGTTTCTTAACTGGTTATTTGATGTTCCACTCCTCCTCGCACCATGTTCATGGAATAAATTTACGAAAAAGCCATCTTATTTTATTTGCTGTTTTAACCTGATTTACTCGATCGTTTAATATTTTGATATTTATAGAGAAATCATGCCAATTTTCCAATTTTTAATAATTAATTTTTCCTTTTTTTCTAATTCGGAAACAAGATAAGGTGACTCGAAAATTAATAGTGAAAAGAACGGATGGCTGTTGAGATCAAATCAGCAGCAGTTATTCTTGGATGCTTATTGTATCACATAGTTACGACTGAAAATCTTCGGATACAGCAATTGTTTGCAAATTTGTCTGAACATCATCTTACTGATTCTTGTAAAAATTCACTTCGAAAGGTTAATTTTATTCGATTATGGCTTTTGGTTTAGTAAATTTTATTAGTTTAGTTTGCTTTTATTAGTTTGCTTTATCATATAAAATATGATCTTCTACTTTGTATTTGTTTATAGTTGTTTATTTTTTCATCATGCATTTACAAGATTCGCTCATTGCATGAAATTTTAAGATAGAATATTATTTTGCATCTAAAAGAGATGAGAAACTATATTACGACTCATTTGGCTCAGGGAAAACCAATGAATTAGTGTCAAACGATCGATTTGTGAGTAAAAAGTTTGACTTCATTGAATAATTTGAATAATGGCTGAATTTCTTTTCACTGCCGCTGGGCTATTTAAATTCAAGGCTATAAGTTGAATTGTTCGAATGATTTTATATGCATTCAATTAATTTTTTATTTAATCTTAATTTTTGGAAAACCAGCGATTCAGCAACAATAAGTTGGATAAAAATAACTACCTTTAAGAATATTCTTTCCGAAAATACGATTGATATGTACTAGTCCTGTAGTAAATTATCGGATTAATAGTGAATTAAAGGAATTATTCTATACAACTTTGAATTCAGCTAGATCCATTAATTTGAGTTTTAAGTTTCATCGTATGCTGAAATGTTTCAAGGCTTCCGGTGATACCGAATTTTCTATTTCGGATTATCATCTTCTATATTGCTATGGTTCTGATACGAATAATGGTAATAAAGACATAAATACTTATGATATATGTGTACCAACTATTTGCGTCACAGACCATCTGAAGGTAAATGTGTCATGTGTGAGTATAATTTATTTTTTCAAAATTTTTTTCGAAAATATGTGATTTAGCTACATTCAAAATTGCATTGTGTATATTGAATTTGTAATGAATTTTAGATTCAGACTAATTCTTCAGATTCTTAATGAATGGAAAACTTTTTTATCCAACGATAGTACATCAGACATAAGAGAAGCTACTTGCGTTCCTTCCCGTCGCGAAAAACAATGGTTTCAGCAATTTCTTCCGATCATTTCATTCTTTTATATACTTTTGTCACTACTGGCAGTTTGTTTGGCGACAATATTTCATATTCAGCGTGGCATAGATAATGATAAGTACGGGCTTTTCAATTTTATGTTCATAAATACTGCTTAATTTAATCTGAAAGATCAATAAAAATTTCTTTTAAAATTTCATTAATGGTATTATTAAAAAGTTGCGAAGAGCCATTTTTAGAGGATTTTTCACCTCAGTAATTTGCAATAATAATTGCGATTTGTTAGATCACTAAAATATCGAATATTTTTGGCATTTTCTGCGAAGAAAAATATAAACAAATTATTTGAATTACCAAAAGATTGTTGTTCGGTGATCAGCTGTATGTTTGGAATACGTTTTTTAGCCATAATCTGGATAATCATTGGACACACATTTGCATGGATTCAGGTTAATCTTTAATAATTGAAGTAATGTTAAGATATATTACTTAAACACACTGCACACTGTAAACACTGTAAACACAATTGCAATTATATATGTAATAATATAATTTATGGCTATTTTTAATATAAAAGATCTCCTTGATTAAACATATGCACATACATTTGTGGGATAATCATTTCTTTTTTAAAGATATATGTATATATTTATATATTTATTTATTGCCTTTTTTGTATTTAATGATTCTTTACCCCAAAATATTCATTGAAATATTGCTGAACTGAGATATTTCAATGCAATAAAAAGAAAAGGGTCATTTTATTTTGAAATCAATTTATAGCCAAATATAAAGAATTTGGCGAACTTTTATGGTTTTAGTGATATGAAAAGATTTATTTGTCTGTTTCTTCTATTTATTCATCATTTACGGTTCATCTGTATTAAAAATTATTTTTAAAAAAGATCAAAATATATATTTATTGTCTTATTGTATTCAATGATTCTTTATGCCAAAATATTCATTGAAATAATGCTAAAATGATATTTCATTATCAAACTATATTATTTAATTTAATTCAGTGAGAATGAATGAAACTGTTTAATTTAGCAATAGCTTAATAGATATTAAGCGTACCAAATCAAGTATTTTTGAATAATCCTTAACTCTATTCGTATTTACACTGTTGCTATATTTCAAAAACTGAACTGCTGATTTAGAAATTATAAATGGATAGAACAAACCGTGTGTTTTTTCACGAAGAATTAAGAATTAAGAACAGTTAACCTAAAGTTCGAAAATAATACCTCATTAAAGAGTATTTCGAAAACTTGATGTTTTGAGATAAAAGCTATCAGCCCTGTTTAAATATATAAATCTCAAATTTTCAGCCATATTTATTGAATGTCGATGAATTTAAGCAAAGCATTGCACAAAACTTCTTAAATCAATGGATTACAAATTTCTTACTCACTGTTGACATATTTTTGGTACTCGGAGGAACAGTAAACGCGTACGGCTGGTTTAATAGGATGACAAAACCTGGTAGCTTTTCCATTGTTCAAATCTTTTTTTAGATTGATTTTAAAGAATCTTCTACTAACAAAATCAAATGAAGATTATGCCAAACTTTTTTATGGTAATAAGTTCAATTTCAGTTTCAATTTTCAATTTTAGCCATATTTATTTTTATGACCGCGTTCGGCAAAAAATCTAAATTCTGTAAATTCGAATCTTCGATATTCGAATTTCAAAAAAAAAAGAATCCTTAGTTTTAATTTCTTGTAAATTTCATTATTTGTGCCAATCATTACAAGAGGAAACGACAATGAAGGCTAAACAGAGTTTTTCATTTATGATGAAAATTTAATAAAAAAATTTCTAATTACGTCTCCGAAACTTATTGCTTCCGATTCATCTCAACACATTTATAAAAATTTTTATAGATAATCGTAATCGCATAGGAACACTATCTTTTTGGATTGCATTTTATCGCCACCGTTTGGTTCGTTTATGGCCGGCATACATATATACTTTATTTGGTGTATTATTTTTGTCAAACATTCATTTCCACGCTATGTGGCCGGAAATTGATCCGGCGCTTCTTTGTCCTAAATATTGGTGGCAAAATCTCTTGTTTATCAGTAGTTTATTCGATAATCGATGTATGGGATGGACATGGTAATTTTTTTTGAGTTTCCTATTCATTATAGTCATAAATGTTGTTAAAAATTGTTATGTAAGTACTGTACAGAGAAAAGATTTTTATAGCAATACGGAATTTTCGTTGGGAGCACGGCGAATTCCCCTTCCAATATTCTACCTTTACAACAATTCCTTTTGGAAATCCGCTCCACTATATTTTTTCTATATAGATTTAGCTTTCCTGCCACGCGGGACTTTTCTTTCTTATCAATATTAACAAACTCTGTCAAACTCTGCGGCCAGCGTTCTGCTTCTTACTTTTCTCTTTGCGAACCTCAAACTTGGGTAATTAATTAAATCTTTATTAGTAAAGACGCAAATATATACAAGAAAACAAAGCGAAGTAATTGCCCTATTAAAACGAAATAATACAGTCAAAAAAATCAAATATAAAATCTGAATGCCCATCACTCACCGACCGTTCCCCACTCGTTTCCCCTAATATAACACAAAATGACCAAAATTGATCTTTTGGGAGCTTATATTTAATTTAAGATGGGCAGGAATCCGGATGATTTGCTCAAATTTACAGCTTTTTTCGCCTTTCGGCGACAAGTACCGAAAACAATAAATCGAAAACAAAACAGTCGAAAATAAGCATCGCTTTTTTTTCAGGTACATTAGTACTGAATTTATTTATTACGCCATATCACCGATATTTTTAATAATATTGCTTTGGTCAAGAAAGTTTGGCACAACCTTTATTATTGCATGTATTGCTATTTCAGCTATTCTCCGCGCATTTGCAATGGAAATGTATAATTTACCACCTACCCAGCTTGGGTGGACCACACCACCTATTTATAATAAAAGTTTCATGGAAGTAAAAATTATGAAATTAATAAGAATTTACAAGTGCAAGACCATAAATTATAGTTTTAATAATATAATTGTTAAAACAATTTCAACAATTTGCTTCCAATTTTTTCTTATATTTGATTTTTATGATAAATTGAATTAATCGAATTGCAATAAATGGATTATTCGGATTTGCCAAAAAGATAAATTTGAAATTATAAATCTAATTTCAGAATCCTATGAGCGCATTTTGTAAATGTTTGTTTACAGCATTATTCACAAATGTATATAAAACCGCAGTTTCGAATCGGTCCTTATTTAATTGGCCTTTTGCTTGGATACCATTTATCTCAATTTCATGGAAAAGCAACTAATCAATCAACTAAATTTATCATAACTGGTTGGATTACATCAGGATCTTTAATATTCTTCTCTATTTATGGATTATATCCAATATCAATGGTTGGATTTAACAATTAATAACAATTTTTTCACTATTTAGCCATTTTACATTATGAACAAGATTATTTACCATCTATTCAGATAGGTGGCGATTCTAGTGATTTTCAAAGTGAAATTAGCAATGTTATATTTCATTTGGTACAAAAAGTTTAAATACTTTTAAGAGATGGAATTGGCCTTTATACTATTTATTATATGGTGCAATCCACCGAACAACTTTCGCAGTTGGAATGGCATGGATAATATTTGTATGCCATACAGGCAAGGCCGAATTCATCAATTCATTTTTCAGCTTAAAAATTTTTCTACCTCTTTCGTCTTTGAGCTACTCAGTAAGCCTTAATGCTTCAATTTCATATTCATCATATACCTGGGGTTCATAATCTGAAGTCCATGGATGAATTCCTAGTATGAACGAGAAAACATGGATAGGAAAAGCTCCCTTTATTTTTACTGGTATGTAACTAGAATATAAGATTTTCTTTAATTACTAATGGCGATCCAATAACACCATTACCTGTAAGTTTTATTGCTGCTGCGGTTTATGGCACAAAGAAAATTAAGTATTCCAGATAAGCATATGTAATATAATGATAATATATACTATGTAAAATTTTATGCTTTTATTTTTATATAAATAATAAATAATATACAATAAATAAAGTAGTATATATATATAATATATAGAATTTTACTTTATATATATATTATATATATAAATTTTCTGTGGTAGCAAGATAATTTAAATGCCTTCAAATTTTTTTTATTTATAGGTTTATCTAAGCCACATGCCAGTTATTTTTGGGTCTTTCATGCAAATGACCTTTCCCATCATCTTTTCAAGCAATATTATTCTTATCTGTCATTGCCTTATGTCACTTATCTTATCATACATTCTCGGACTGCAGTGCTCGTTACTCTCGGAATTCCCTGCAATGAATATTGAAAAAATACTGTTTCAACCTTCAAGAAATGATGCTAAGATTTATGAAGACCATCCTTTATCGATAAAACCTCAATAAAGTAATAAAAAATTTTAAATTCTTTTAGGATATTGAGCAAAAACGAGATAAGAAGATTCTTTCGTAATAATATGTAATAAAATCGATTATACCGATTAAAACCGATCACAGTTCCTATGGATGATATTCCCCATATTAATTAATATTTTTTATATATATTTATATTTTTTATATAAATCTTTTACCATTTTACTTTTCTCTGCCAAAGAATTCGTTCAGCAAATTTTTAAGAGGGCTTTGATCGTCTCATTAAAATTATAAATATTAGTCATCTTTCTTCAAAATAGAGATCGAAAATACGCGACAAAAAGCGATCTTCAACTTTATAAATTTATGTACTAACGCATTGTAATTTATCGATATTTTTTTTAGAGAATTGATATGAAGTTGAATATTTCAATATACCATTTTGCAATGTTGAATTCCGCTGCAGTATGAGATTTATAAAGATACTTTATATTTTCTATAAATATATAGATCTTCAAATTATTAATATTAAAGCTAACTCAACAAAAAGATATTTGAGTTATTTTAAAAAAACCCCCAGTGTATTATTTATTAATAATAATTTGAATCTAATTTACCATTATGTTATAAAAGACTATAAATTATAATTATTAATATGCAGTACTAATATGAGAAAAATAACGAGAGATATTTGAATCAAAAGGCTAGAACATATAAAATTATGGGGTAAAATAAATGATTTTTTTAATAATTTATGAAAGGACCGAGTGAAATGGCTTATATATACATTTTAAAAAAATCTACTTATAAATAAGTCAAAAGTCAGCCATTTCTCCATTCTCTACGTTGTGCTCAATTCCCTTTCTACTCCATATAGTCGTCATTCACAGAAACAAGCGGAAAAAAGTGGAAAGTGCAGATGGTCCTTCGTGTTGCTTACAGTAATAAAACAAAAGAAAAAATATTTTAAGGTAAAATATCGTGGACAATTATCATTAACAATCAAAAAAATAACACCAAATATAAAAAAAGACGATGAATAGGCTGCTAAAGGCCATTTAAACACATTTATCAGTAATTCTTTTACAACATATTATAAAGATTTGCTTAATTCGACTCATCTCATCCTTGATACTCGAAAAATTTATAATGTACAGGTCGAATAACTTTCCCCTCCTTCCCACCTTCTCCAAAGAAACTTTGCCGAATCTTTTTTCATGATAATTACTTTGATGGTTATTTCAATTCACATATACTTGTAATATCTACAAAAACGAAATAGAAAAAATTGCAAAATCTAAAACAAAAAATTCAAAAAATCTCGCCGAACTAATATAATTTAAAACTTCTGTACAAAAAACAAAATACTAAAGGAAGAAGAGAAATATAAAAGATTTCCAATACAAATAAATGTTATGAGCCCTTAAACGCATTTATTTTTGCACGTTGTCAAATTTTTTATAATAAAATAATCATGAATAATTTAATCAAAATTAAATCATCACTGTACCCTTAGTATTTCAAAATTCGGCGAATTCTTTAGCGCATTTTTCAGTTCCAGAAATCCGAAGAGGTTCTTCTTCGTAATCATCGAAATTCGATGCATCACCAGCGCCACGACATTTCGGTAGAAATGGTGCTTCAATCTGAATAATATTTATTATTATTAATTCTTAGTTTATCTAAAATTTTATTTCGGATAAGTCTATCCCTCAATCAACCAACTAAAATGTTTGATGGAATCCCAAATATCTTTTCTTTTATAATTTTTTTCTAAAGCACATTAGACTTTTACAGAAAATGGGCAACAGAAGTACAAAAAGAAGTATCTGAAGAAGTGATTTTTAAAAGACATGTTTACTTATGTCAGAAAGAGAAGCCTAATACCGACGCTCCGAAAAAGAGCAACAACTCACTAAGCCATTCTAATTTTCTTTTAAATTGTTCCAATTGTTTTGAAAAAGATTTCTATACTTTGTCGTGTTATGTTTTTCGATCTCAATCTTTCCTTGGAAAATAAATGGAAAATAAAACAAAGAAATAGAGCGTCAAAGAGCGCCATGTAATCGCGCCATAATGAAAGCATAATAGCCCAAAAACTTAAGTTATTGCCTTGTCAAGGTTTGGGTCCCACCTTTAATAAATAAACCCATCACCGTGGCAAAATTTTTCACTGCAGTTATAACCAAAGGAATCAGCAAAGGCAGAAAAGATGAGTGCTGACCACTTTCTTATTTCTTTACTAATACTAATTAAGGCTAATTATAAATGAAAATCTAAAAAGTGCATCGACAGCGAATGCTCTATTTAAATAAGTTTATATGAACTACACCAAAATTTAAAAATCTGCTCATTTCAAAATCAACACGATTCATTCTGATAATTTCAAGCGAAAGCATATTTTATAAATGAATATTTTTGGGAAAATCGAGTTATAAATAAAATTTAGGATGTGAATTAAGAGATGTAAATATGAAAAGCAAAAAAGAAGCAAACTAATAAAATGAGACCAACGAAGATATGTGTAGCAAAGAAATGAAATCACATTTCATCTCTAGACCAGGAGCAGCGCAGCTTAAAAGCTTCGAAATAGATCACCATGCATACAACTTGCAGCAATATTGAAAAGATCTGGTGCTTCTTCACAATCTTCGATAAAGTGCCGAGTATCTTCTAATCCATTAACACGAGGATATAGCGCTTCAAACAAGCGCCCATCTTGATTGCGCTTGTTACAAAAACTTGCAGGAGTTACCTAAGGTGAAATTAGTTTCGTGCATATCATCATGCAATACACATGCAAAAAAAAAAAAAAAATTAGAAAAAATTACCATATCGATTTTCAAGGAAAATCACTTTTTGTATTTCTAGTTCTAAATGAGTTCGAACCAAAATAATTCGAAATAAAGAAATTATCTTTTATTATGTAGCAAGAAAACCTCAAAAAGGAGTAAATTAGGGCTTTCACTAGGATTTCAAAGCATTTAATTTAGAAATAATTATCCATTGACTTTATCAAGCTTTAGCAATTTTCGTTTTTCGGAATCTACCTTCGGTCGCCATTATAATTCGTATATCAAATCAGCATGAGTTGTCTTCAACAGTTCTAAGAACAACTCAAGCAAGAATCTAATAAAATTATGAAAAACTTGTACATTCACGTTCAATTAAAGACTCAACTCAATGACTCAAACAGATCTTTGAAAGTTACCAAAACAGCATGAATCCATTATACAGTTAAATATTGCAAATACTGGTCAATACTATAATTAATATTAATTGAATCATACAACTGCACCACAAAAATAAAACTTGTGGTCCGAATATCTGTTTCCAACTATATAAAATGAAACGATAAAAAATGGAAAAAATTGAAATAATAGATACTGTAAGAACCAAACGACGTGCATAGGCTTGTGCTGGATTAAGTCAAAAACGCTATAAAAACTTATAATAATTAACTATCCTTTTTAACCTTTGCAACATAATTCATAGTTAACAATTTCACAATCTCTGAATAAATGAAAATAAAACGCAGACCTTTTTTTGGTAAATACTAATCCAATCTGTTGAGCCGAACCATTTGTGATTTTTTATATCGGCGACACCATTTTTTAAATTACCAAATCTCTTCGTTAAATCAACTTGTAAGAGATTTTTCAAAAGATCTTTCAGTTCATTCGAAAAATGTGATGGAAATTTAACCTAAAGTTGGAAAATTAAAGAGATAAGATTGCACCACCATTAAAGAGGTTAATGTGTTGAATGACTTATCTTTTAGATCATGGGTTCTTATAATAGACGAAACCACCACCCACCCAATGGGCAATGAGTTAAAGGTGATCCTTGATCCTTCTTTCTGCATATTTATTTAAATTTTTAAATTTTTTCGTCGGCTATAGTTAGACAGTTTTACAATGTTTCATGATATAATTTGGCTCTCATATAAATCATATTCACCAATGTCTTCTTTGCAAATTTTAAGGTTTTTAATGCTCTTAGCAAATTCGAAACTCAAGTGAGAATTAGCTTTTTAAATTTTGGTTTTTTATTTATTTTTGGCATTTACAGAACGGAATCACAAATAATCCGCCAACCTATTTCCAAATCCAAAACAAATACGTCAAAATTTAAAATTTTTTTTTCACAAAATTAGATGAATATGCTCCTAAAGAATAAATATTTTGATTCACTGAGTGATTTAACTTCTATCATAATTGACAGCGTTAAAAGTATTACTTCTTTATTCCTTTTGTATTATTCCTTTTGCGGCTTGTAGAAATGATCCAGAAATCTTTTCTTGAAAGTTGAAGATTGAAAATTGATGGAGAGAAGGATAAGGAAGAAGGGATGAAAGTGGAAAATGAAGAATTTATTTTGTGGGTTTTCTGTGCTAATCGCATCATCGTCCATGCCTTCCCTTCGTGTGTCGCGCATTACAGGAATTGACGCACATTTCACTACTTGCCGAACCCTGTGATGATTGGCGTCAAAAGCGAGATTCTCCACAAACTTCTGATGAGACAAATTCTCTCCATTCTCTTATTTTTTCGCTTACAAAACATGTTTGAAGCAAAGAAGTGTGACAATGTATCGTAAGAGTGACAATACCTTATGTATTGTTTTATTTAGTTGTTCAAAAATAAAAAATTAACAATACACCTTATTTGCCAAAACTATATATTTACCAATGAGTGTATGTAACCGTCTATACTAAATGGTCATTTGAAATGAGTTTATCTTGATATAAAAGATAAAAATATATATTTTCAATCGCTCAAGGATCAGTTTTTTAAACCACGAGCATGGTATGTTTTAAGCTGCATCCTAAGAAAAAAGGGAATGATGGGTTAGGCCCTCAGCAATATCTCCCTAAATTGCATATAATTGGTGAAGAACTGATGAATTTCCCTTCTACCAGTGAAATTGTACATACTGTTCTGTACAAAATATCATTTGATATAGTCAATAAAATTCCTTCGAGCCAAATATAGTACAATAATTATAGTGCAATAATAATTTGATGAAATTGCTAGAATGTTGCAGGCTCGTTAACTGACAAAATAGTGATGTTTTGCTTTTCTTTCGATTTGAAAATGAAAAAATTTGGCAATAATTTTTATTTATTAAAAAAATTAATAGCTGATACTAAAGAAGAATCGAAGTTTCTTGTTGTTCCTTGTTATAAATATCTACAGATATTATGAAATATCTACAGATGCAGGGAAATGAAGACAATTTGATTAAAACCAGGAATATTATTTTCACATTCATATTAAAACTAGTTTTTTATAAGCACGAACATATTATGATTTATTGCCAACATGTGGAAGACACTGCAGGATGATTTTAATAATCGTTTTCAAAAAATCTTTAATATAAGAATTCCTCCTGGGAAGGTCTGAGAAAAGGTACTACGTTATGTGAATCTTCTAGCAGGAGAGTGGCGTAATACGCTGTAAGGTTCGTACTAGAAAAACGGCACACTCTTGCTGTTTCCAAATGTTTATTCTACAAAAATCAGTATTATTATCATCTATCGAGCGGTAATTAGAAACCTTTTTAAAAAAAAATCTAAGTGGATTTTAGATCCATTTTCAATTACTGAAGAATCATAATTACCAGTGAAAAAAGAATTAATCGAATTATCAATTATCAACAAACGAAGAACCAAAAGCAAAATTTATAAAAAATGGATAAAATGGACATTTCTGCAAAAGTAAATGCCATCAATTTACCGTGAACTTTGGGCTCTGCAAAAGAATTTTTCTTCCATTTCTCTTATCATATTTAGAAGAATTTGGATTTAGCGAAATTACAAATTTATTGACTGAAAAGAGGAACATACTGCAAATAAATGAGCGCGACGATTCAAGGCTAAAATGATAAAAACTAAGTCAAAGACATAAAGATATAGTATTATTTATCAGTGGCTCAGCTACAATATAATTATCATCAACAATCGCTTATGTTCGAATTCGCCGATACACCATTCTTCATCGAGCGGTTATGTCGCCTAATTTAGGAGGAAAACAAAGGATAGTAGAATGGCTCAGTGGGTTGCTTGCTTAATTCATAGCGCTGATATTGAGGCCTTACTCCTAGCAGAAGTAAGCCAAGGGAATCCCTGGCATATCTGTCAATGCGATAAGCGAGCCTAACCACCAATGGTCTAAGCGCTTTAAAAAAAAAAAATTTTTAGCACCAAGTCCAAATTTCCCATCAGTATTCATTTTCACTTGAGTCTTTGTGTAGTTATTTTTTTTGATTCTTTATAATTTCAATTTATGCATTATTGCATTATGTTTGTACTTTATAAATCTTAATTTTAAAGTTTTCTTTTACAGTTTCGACACAACTCTTTAAGATTTTAAGACTTAAAAATTACAAATAGTATTTGGTCTGGAATTTTTAGTATTATAATTTAATAACTGAATCTACTTTATTCAGAAAAAAGGGAAGTGAAGCAAACCTAGAAAATGGTGCAAAAGATTGGAAATTCTATGGTTTATATTATCAGTTCAAGAAAGGATTTGGAGCTCGCTCCATGACATATCTGTCGTCAAAACTCAAATCCAGATTCATTTATATTTATCCTAAAGTGACCGACCCTCTGATAAAAGGGTCTCATCCTAATAAATAAAGCTTAATCTCGACCATATAGAAAAAAATCAATATAAATAACAATTGTATTTTGGCCATTTATCCTTTTTTTAATTAGTGAAAGCTTTCATCACAACTTTCACTACTATTTTTCACATATTTTTTATAGTCATGCATACCGGTGATAACGGTATTAAAATTTACCTTTCCAGAAACAATTTTTTCATAGATTTGAATTGGTTGATCAGCAAAGAATGGAGGATACCCGGCTGCCATTTCATAAATCAATACGCCTAGAGCCCACCAATCAACAGCCTTGTTGTAACCCTTAAAATTAGAATTTAGTCAAGAAAAAATTTTATAACTTCCTAATTTTATTCGAAAAAACTAAAGAATGTAAAGAACATTTTATTTCCATAAAGACAAAAAAAACAAACCTTGCTGAGTATTATTTCAGGAGCTAAATATTCCGGTGTACCACAAAGGGTCCACGTTCGTCCTTTCACTCGTTTTGCAAAACCAAAATCTGTTATCTGTAACAAAGAATGAGTTGAAAATTCCAGAGTGGGTAGCCGTTAAGCTTCTATTGATAAATTTACTTAAATTTTATTCTTCTTCTGGGAACACGCCATTTCTAATTTGGCTCTATTGACTATCAGGGTGACTTTTTGCTTAGCTCGAATAGAAAATAAAATGAGAACCCAAAGGCCATTCCTATTAATCAAGAAAGTGGTTCACCATTTATAATTAAATAGTTTCCATTGATAATTAACATGAATCAAAATTTTACCAAAACATTTTACCAAAGAATCATGTGGGGCAAGTATGAAAACATAAGTGAAATCCCATCTTACACGGATTTTTTAAAGTCGAATTAGGATATTTAATATGATAATATAAACAATTGGGCCATTCTGTTCGGACTACCTGTTTACTAGGAGATGACAAGAATATCTAAGTTACAAAAGAATTAGTAAACAATTTCTCTATATTATTAATTATCTTCGCAGATCAATTGTTGATACCTTTAAATATCCAGTGCTATCAATAAGAAGATTCTCAGGCTTGAGATCTCGATAAATGAGGTCGAGCGAGTGCAAGTACTCAAAAGCAAGTACTATTTGTGCAGCGTAAAAACGCGAATGGGGTTCACTAAAACGGCCAATGCGTCGCAAATGTGAAAACATTTCACCACCACTAATAAACTCAAGCACCATATATAAATTTGAATTATCCTGAAAAAAATTTAAAAGCAAGAAATTTACGTATATTCTAAATGCAGATTTCCTTTTGCTTTTTATAAAAATGAATCCGGTTTTTTCTAATTTTCTGATTTCTTAAATCCTCAGCCAAACCTCATACGAATAAAGTAGGGAAAAAAATTATCCTGAAAAATTATTAAAAAAGTTATAGTAAAGTTATACTAATTAAATATAGTAATTTAACTGAGTTAATCATAGAAAAGCGAACGTAGAAAGTTGATTTCAGAATTACTAGTAACCTTGAACGAAAAATCCATCTTTACAAGAAAAGGAAAATCAATAGCTTGCAAAATGCGTTTCTCATTAAGCGTATGTTCGACTTGTTTTAGCTTTACAACTTTTTGCTTGTCGAGGATTTTCATCGCATAATAACAACCATTTTGCTTATGCTTAACGAGCATAACTCGCCCAAATGATCCAGTTCCCAATGTTTTTATACGATCAAAATCATCCAACACCGCTGTATTCTGGAAAGATTCATTAAGTTTTCGCATATTATGTAAAAATTATCATTGAAAATGTCTATGACAAAAGAAATTTAGAAGGATTTCGAGAGAACTGTCACCATATTTCTAATTTTTGATGAAAATTCTAATACCAGTGCAAAAATGCAACTTATGCGCGTTGTCTATTACCATAGGCCATCTGCCCATTCTCCAAATCTTATTATATTTTGGTTGTGATGATTTTGGTTAGAAACTTTAGATAAGACAAAACTTTAGATAACCTGAGATGGATTGTCCCATCTTTGTTTGAAATCGTCTTTGGCTCGATCCAAGAATTCTTTAACTTAAATAGAAAAGCATAAATTTTTCTGCATTCGAAAAAATTTTCACAAATCTTTTATTATAAATTAGGAAGAATAAGAATAAAGAGCTATTTTAAAACTTTAGCTATTTGTAGTTGATTGATTCAATAAATTATTCTTCAGCCTATTTGAAGAATTCAGTGCCCGAAGACCATCTTCTCCCGGAGTCTCATTGGCCTTAAGCTTATGGATAATAGAGATTATTTTTTCTTCTGTCGGGGGCTCGCAATTGCAAGCATATGCTTCGGCAAACGTATCAGTTACATTAGGGGCAATAGATTCATGGTTAAGTTTGGCCTCAAAGAATTCTTTCCATCTTATGATTTAATTAACTTTAACCAAATGATTTTTTAAGATAAGAGTTTTTTTATTTTAAATCGAAATAGGAAAAATTGAAAAAATTAAAGAAACAAAAATTTAAAAATATTTAAGTTTTTTATGGCTTCTTTTTTTAATGTTAAAAAAAGAAATCCAAAAGAAAAAAGCATCTATTTCTATTAACAATTGACATTTACTCTTCAAAAGCTTCAAAAAGAAAAAAAAAGAATAAATTATGGGATGAACAAAATGGTTTAGGATCATTGGATAGGCAATGTTATACCAATTAAAGTATCGAAAAAATATTTGGCAAACTATTGTCCGATTTTATCACCGGAATAAAAATAGGAAATTAAACTGCAATATAAGGAAATTTCCATAAAGGAACTGTAATTTTATTTGTTTATTAATTTAATGAAATTTGTTAAAACTATTGATTATAGGTTAGAAAGTATAGCACTCATAAGAAATTTCTATAAAGCACCAAAAAATGAACCAAAATGAAAATTAAAATTTATAAGACAAGAATTGCTGCATAGACTCTTGCACAATCAACATTTTAACATTTATCAATGTATTTAGGTATATTTTCAAAAACTATTACTAAAAAGGAAATCTCAATTCGAAGTAAAAATGGATGAATCTAAAGAAAGAATATTTTTTATATTTAAAAATATAAATAATGCATATGATATTATAATGACATTATAGTGGCAGGATATAAAATGCAATCGGGAATGAAAGGTCAGCATCAATTGACAATGGAAAAACAGTACCAGTTATGTACCTAGATTTGACTAAAGCTTTTGGTACTGTTTCCCATAATAAATTATTGATCATTCTTAATAGTTATGGCATTATAAGGGCTCTTTATAATTGGGTGTCAGATTACATAAAAGATCGTCACCAAGTTGTATGTGTCAATGACATTCTCTCTATACGACACAATACCTTTCTTTATGAGTCCCTTTTTTACTATATTTTACTATTTTAATTTTTTTGCTAAGTCGCTATATCGGCATGCCTCGAAATTCTGATGTACCATTCTGAACTCATGAAAATTTGTCTTGGTAACCTTCTCTTCACTGTTTCTTGACCGGTCGACAATTAATTAATTTGAAAGCAAAAGACTGCTATGGGGTTTTGAAAATGCAAAATGGATTCGAACCAGCCTTTACCTTATAAACAAATAAGTGTCGTACAATCAAGGGTCAATGGAGAATGAGATTGACAAGACAATTCCACAATGAATGCATCGGTAGTGCAGCGGCAATACTTTACCAATATTTTATAGGTTCTAATTCAGCCGGTGCACCATACTTTCCTCAGGTGTCGCAAAATGGCGAAAGCAAAATGCTATTATGGCGTAATAATAGAAAATGGATTTAAACCAGCATTTTGATAGCTTGCTTTCGTTCTTGACATTGCAAAGCACCAACTTTCCACATCTCATCAACTGAGAATTTTATCAGTAGAGACGAGAGGAAATTTCGATACACTAATAGATTTGCCAGTTTTTTTAAAAATATCTTTGTTTTTCGTTAAATTTATTCATTACTTCAGGACAATTAATCATAAATGAAGAACTGAAAATGAAAAAAAAGTTTGGAACTTAAGTGAAGTAAAATATCAAAAATTTAAAATAAAAACTAGATTAGTGCAAAAAATGTCGAAAACACTAAATCATAATTTGCACAATGGTTATCAGTTTTTTGTTAAATTTTAAAAAAGATAAATCGATCAAGAAAATTATAAATAAATTTTAGAAATTTTCAAGATATTTTAAATAATAAAACCAAAGTGAAAAGTCGAAAAATAAACCCCATAAATTTTATAGAGCTCACAATAAGCTTCAATAAAAATTTCACTTTTCATGAGCATTTTTCTAAAAAATAAATCGAATTCTTTCCTTTTGGAAAAGCGTTCTAAATTATTTAATATAAAATATGTAGAAAAAACAAAATCTTACAGAATTTGATCTGGATTTTCTTATTATTCGATGTCATTATTCGAGCACATAAATATAAATATAGCTCAATCCTCAATAATAATCCTTATACGCAAAATTCGCATTGAATAATAATATTTATTATTGAACTGCTTCACTTCACTTCACTTCAACGAAAACATTTTTTCAACCAAAATATAAGAAATTTCTCAGTTGAATATTTAGCTATAATTAATCCTAATTATAAGTAAATAGATAAAAATCAATTCATGAGGGAAAAAGAAGAAATTAAAGGAAGCTAAAGTCAACGTAAGTCAGATCAAATAAAAAAAGTGATAAAGATGAAGGAATTGGAATGTTAGGAAGATTAAGAAAAAAAATAAAATAAATAGCCTAAATAAATTCGGGTGGAGTGAAAAAAGTAATAAATCACTGAATGAATGAAATGTATTTCACAGGGATGTAAAACAGGGAGAGAGTCAAGCTAACGCGTATTGGACGTATTGGACTAAATTGTCGCCGTTCTCGTCTTTCCTCTTCCTTCATGTCGATACGAAATCGCTTGATGCTTAGGACACTCAACATGCATATATCCATACATATATATATACAGCCGCGCACATACACTCATCTTACTTCTTTTCTCAGAACTATGCGTGCTTTATAAAATTTTACACAGCCATATCGCTTTATAAATAATGTTTGATTTGAATTTTTGATAAAAATTCATTTAAAAAAACATCATCAAAAATTTCTTACTACAAGATAATATTAAATGAATCTAAAACAAAATGCCAAAAATGCGTTAAAATGAAGGTAAAGCAAAAAAACTTCTTGATGAAAACTTTTCAAAAACTTTTTCATCGACCCGCATATTTCCTTTATTGTTGGTTAGACTCGCATGCCAGGGAGAGTTCCTTGGTGATAGAAGTACAGGTGAGTTGTCAGGTTTACCCTGGGAAATAGAATCTTAGGTATCGTCGCTCCAAACTGAGCAACAACCAACTGAGCCATCCTACTCTTCTCGCATATGGCACAGTATAAAATCATGATAAATTATTGGAGGAAAGATTCTGCATCATTTATTTATTTTTAGAACATACAATGTGGTACGAATCAAATTTTTGATAATAAAATTTGATAATTAAATAAAGCAAAATCAGTATTTTGGTTTTATATAGTAAAGTGTATTAAAAACTGACAATGATAAAATGATAAACTGAATGATAGGTGCATCAAAAAACAATATATCAAATATCTTGAGAAATGTCTTTCAAGAAAAAAAATTTAAACTAATGCTCATAATCGGAAGAAAATTCATTCTTGTTAAGAATAGAATTTCATAAAAAAGAATTAGTTTCTCAAAAATATCCATCGCCATGAAAATGAGAAAAATTGCTTCACAAAATAATTCTAAATATTTTGTTGATGCAAAATTTCCTCAAAATTTTAATGGGAAAGTCGATGAAAAAAAATAGGTACCAACTATAAAATAATAAGTCGAATATTTTAGAAGAGAGGGTAGCTGAATATTACGAAGGGTCCTCATTAAGTAGATTTTAGTCGGCGCCAGCCCTGGTTTTCAATCAAACAGTGCCGAAAACGAATCCTAACGAGAGATCACCTTAAAAAATGAGAATCAAACAAGAATTTGTGAGAGTCGCTAATAAAGCTGACAGCCTAGTGATCTGGATTAATTAAATCCGGCATAATGCATTTTCGATGATTATCGAGCGTGCAGTGCCTTGTTGTGTTGGTCACTTATCTTGCTGAACTCTACCGGAAGTAGGACGACGCAACATCGAAATGACTTTCATTCGTTTCAAGGAAAATCTAATTTTGCAAAAAAAGATCCATAAAAAGAGAGTAAATCCGAAGTACACAATTAATACAATGCATATGGTAGCTTATTGATCGGTCTATCTCGAAGCATTCTCGAGAGTGGAATTCAAAAATAATAGGAAAAACGATTCTTCGGAGAAAAATCGATTTAATCCCAGCGAGTGCTGTTTGCTAAGAATAGCCCAACTAACTGAAATGGTGTTGTCACTGCTGCTGCTGCTGCTGCTGTGTTAGTCAGTTCGTTGAATTCGCAATCGATTCGCCTTGATGAAATTGGAAAAGAGTGTTAGGGATTTCCACACGTAATTCCACATTAATAGAAGTGGTATTCAATTTGATCATTAGCATTTTATAAAATTTGATAATTTGATAAAAGTCAAATAAGAGAATCAATTTTTGTTGGAAATTTAATAAAAGCTGAATCTATTTTTACGTTACTTTAGCAAAATGTCGAAATCGCTTATTCACCTAAAATACGGTGTTTTTCTCCCATTTTTTTCATCTGTATTTATTTAATTCAAAAACAACTCCAGGGACTCCAAAAAACAAAAAATCTTTAATTCTAATATTATCCACTTTTATCAATCCAACTTAATTTAAAAATGTAAAACTTAATTTAAAATAGGCAAACAGAAATATAAAATAACGAAAATTTTTTTCCCAAAAAAATTCATTATTATGGCTTACTATTGCTGTGTATTAGACCATCAGTTCAAGTACCATGGTTTGGTCCCAATCCATATCATTTCACAAAAGTTATATTCTTATTACTACCATCTGTCTCAGTTTAAAGATAAGTTCGAAAAGACTTAAGATTTCACAGGAAAGTTCGCTTAGCTGTCCACTGAACTTGAGTTTTCACCAAATAACAATTTTGGCACTATTTATCTGTACTTTTTCAGAAACGAATAATGGTGGAAAAAATATTATTAAATAAATAATGCAAGGGTAACAGTAACAAGAAAAATCAAGTAATAAATATATTTTAATATAGCATGACACTGTTTGACATTTCACAAATTAAAGACTATTTTTAAATATAATTAATAAATTTTGATCAGTCGTAAACAAATAGTGATTGAGGAATTTCTTAACGCTAACGATTTTTATTGTCGTTTTCATCTGGATTAAATGAAAAATAAAATGTTTTGGTGGAAATTATTAAAGTAATTCATCTCATTAAACTAGGGAACTCACCAATGCGACAAATCAGTTTCATCTCCACAAATTAGGAAAAGAAAAAAGAAGAAAATTTTCAAAAACATGGCAGTAAAAATTTTATAAAATTTTACAGAATTTTGAAAAGATTTATGAGAATTTTAGTGAAACGCAATTAACAGCTAATTACAGAGAAATTTTTTGAAATTAATCAGAAAATTTTTTAAAAAATTTGAAAAACGAATTTGACGCCACTTTTTCGCAGGAATGCCTTATTTTTGGAAATAAAATAGCGCATTATCCTTTATTTTGTTTAAAATTTTCTTTTATCAATTTTTAATTAAAATTAATATAGAAAAAAACTTTTAGAAAAATTATTATAGAAAAAAACCAAAACAAAGCAAATTATTGAAATTTTAACATGAAAAATTTCAAAAAATTAAATTTTTAGATTTCAATAATTTGGAGAGAGAAAAAATATTAAAAAGAGAGAATATCGTAAAGTTAATTGTACTACGTGGCTGAAAATATATTTCATTCGTTCATTAATTGCCTCCACTTTGATCGAAAAATGGAAGTTAACGATTAGAAAAGGAAAAAAAAGAAAACCGATGAACACGAAAAAATTCCAAATGGTTAACGAACAAAATCTTCAAAAATATTACCTAAACCCGAAAAATTAACGAGATTTTCGATACAAGCGAATAAATAAAACGGATATTACAAATAACTACAATAGATTAATTCTTTTATTATTAATTTTATTATTAATTCTTATTATTTGTTATTTTAACTGTTGTTATTAGTACAAGCACATGGCGTTTGTCGCCCTGCTTGGCTGGTTGCCTGGCTGAATAAATAAATAAATGTTAAAATCTATATCTTAAACGTCAAAATTTAAAATTTTATTATATCTCTTAAGACAGATCTTAAAATTTTTAAATAAACTGCTTAATATAAATATTTAAACTGCTTTTCACAGATGTAAGCACAGATATAAAAAAAAAAAAGCATGAAAATATTTTATTTTAATCATCTGATGCAGAACTTCATTGGGCAATTTAAAGTGGAAAAATAAGATAAACAATAAGATAATGATAAGATAATAATAACAAGAAAAGACAAGTGGATAAATCTAGGAAAATTCTGAAGAAGCTGATGACCTTTTCATTGATTCAATGACCTTGTGCATTTCTAATTGACTGTGGAATCTCGAAAAGTCAATAAAAGAAAACGTAAAATCAACATTTCATTGATTATCAACAAATAAGTAAAAAACGCCGGTAAAACCGGCAAACTGAAACCAGTTATTCGTCGCCGGTTAATAAAAAAACTCGATCGGAATATCACAGAATTTTTTTGCATATTGAATAAAAGATTTTTAGTGAAGCCGCGAAAAAAGTAAAGAAAAACTAACAAAACAGTTGGGAGGATAAGAAATTTTCAGCGAAAATATTCCGTTCAGTCGATCCCGTTGTTTTCCGAAGTTTGACTGAAGCAAATACATTCTGATCACAATTCCATTGACGACCGTCAGTAGTTATGCTCTCTCTTGCCTTCGATGCCGCACCTGACGAGATTTGGAAATCAAAAGACGAGCAATCTGCAGCGTCGATTAGCACTGTCGTAATATTGTCGCTCGACAACAGTGGCTCTCGAGGCGCAGCATCGCGCAGATTCACCGTTGTCACATTCTCGTTAGCGTTCGAATCGTCCGATTTTCGCCCTGCTGACTCTTCAAGCATTATCGTTATTTGCAAGAACGTGGAGTCGGCACGGTGAGGAAATGCGTAAAATATTCGATCAGATGTCGTCCTCTTCTCAGATGAAACTAAATGAAGAATTCAATTAAATAAAGATCGAAAAAGTCGAACCTCTAGTTTTCTTAATAATTAAAGCCAAAAAGTAATCGATTCCGACATGAAAACCTTGTTGCCAGATGAAGAAAATACGTTTCTTGTTGTGCGTCCATAGATGTGCAGATGGTGATGTGTAGATTGTACGTATACGCACATACATACATACAATAATCATAAACACTAATTTGCGGCCCAAAAACAAGCAAGCAAAACTTTTATAGCGAATTTAAACGAGTGCACGCAGCATGCTCCTGTCGTCGGCAAAAACTTGTTGAGGACTTGTTTTCTGGTCGTAGATTCGTATAAACGACAACATATTGACGATTTGCAGAGATGTGGAAAAGAACACGAATTTCGCTCTTACGAGAGCTGCCTAGCTTTATAACAAAATAGCGCTAGACGATTGTTCGACGCATTTTATAACGACCAACTGAACCATTCTTACGGACAAGCGACGATAACAAAATGCCTCTCGTTTATAAGCCAACTGACACTCACTTGTTTCATTTTGTTTTTCACACTGCATTAATTATTTATCGCATGAATTTAATTTTAATATTTTTTATAAATTTTCAGATTTCTTTGACATCGCCGAAATTAGCAATTTTTCATCGGTTTGGTAAAACAACGTTGAACGAAACAGTGAAAATAAGCACTGAAGCATTTCACTGAACTACATCGTATTATTTTAAAAATTTTTATTTTTAAATTTTGTTTTTCAGAAGTTCAAATAAAAAACCGCATGAAAATTTGTCATTTCATTCCAATATTTGCACTCGAATTTTCTCATCTTACACACGTTTTCTATTGCTTTTAAAACTTTACATAGCTATAAACTTTATATATATACATATATCTGTAAAGTTATATATATATATATATATATATATATATATAAAATCTTTTTCATCCTCTGTAGGTGACAAGGACCATCCTCAATCTCGGGTCCTCCATCAGAGGCCTAAGAGATTAATGGTTCTACACAGCTCTTCCTAACAGCGCGCTCATTTGGACAGAGATCTCTGACGTTATTCTTATAATCTTAAAGCCACTTTTCTAATTTAGGTCACAGTTCCAAATGCTCCAATTATTACTGGTACTACTTTGGTCTTCACTTCACACGTCTTCTCTACTTCCTCTTTCAACCTATAGAATTATTTTTTGTAATTCTGGAAATGCTTGTACAAAATTAAGAGCAAGAATATCAATGTCGCGCTAGAAAATGAGATAGATAAGAGGAAACAGTGTAGAAAAGTTAGTCTCCTGGCAGAATTACAGAAATGCGTAAAAATTAAGAAAATTAAGATCACGCTAGGGGAAAAATACAAAGGCCACAATCCATTAAAAACCCTAAAGACTGCTATACAAAGTTTTACAGCATTGTCCAAGGCGAAAAGGGTACGCTAGAAAAGCGGATATACAAAGGCAAAAGGATAAATGCCCTGTTCTGCAAAAAGCCACCCAAAGTATATTCTCGATTGCAATGCAAAAATTTGGTCAAGCGGAGCCATGAACAGCATCAACAGATACCGAACAATTGGAAGAATGTATGGAAGAAAACGAAGATTCACAAACCAATGTAAAGAGAAAGACCTGAGAAGAAGCCACAGCAATCTCCTTGTAAAAAATAGATTAATGATTGAAGGCAGTGGAATTATGCTTATATTGTTTTAATATTTTATAAAACCTTGTTCTGGACAATAACAGAAAACTGTATTGATCACCGCACTTATTTAGAAAAATTTTATTCTTCACTCCACTCCTCAGACTTGTGTAATTAAACCGCATTAATATAAAGATAGAAAAACAATATTCGATACGAATTTCCAGAGATAAGTATTTCGAAACAAATAAGAAATGATTAAACAATATAAAGGACGTTAAATAACAAAGTATATGATATTGAAATATTGGAACCCACCTGCTCGGGTCCCTTCATGGCACCAAAATGAGGGAAGAGAAACTATTTTCTTGAGAAGAATATACAATGTATACTATAAATTGACTACTATAAATTGACCCTTCTCTTTTATTGATATATGAAATGGAAAAACAAAGAATCGATTAAGTTAAAGTTTTCTTTTGGTGGGTCCAGGCTAACCAATTTGAAATAATAATTTTGGAAAAAATATTGCATTTCTCGACACTCCTAGTGCAGGAACCAGTTACCAATAAGCCACAGTAATCTTTTATTGTAGGAACTGTAGTTATGATCACATTCACTCACATCCAATAGTATCTCAAAAAATGAAATGTTGGACAGCACCTAGTCCGGACATGACCTACATCTACCTGCTAAAGAGACTAATAGCGGTCCATATGCCTGGCAATATAGATGAACCAGCAATTCATGACAGACTCTCACCCAAGCCGGTTAATGCAGGGAAGTACGGCACTGATGCTGATCATGAAAGAGAACAACCAAGTATTAACCAAAAACCCTCGTTGTTTCCATACAACGAGGGAACTACTACTAGTATGTATGGTAGGCATTACAACAAGTCAAACTACGAGACATACTACATGAGCCAGTATATGAATATAATTCAAAAGAGCACTGGGAATAACATTAGCTATTTCACAGATAAAGCAGCTGCTCAAGAACTCTAGATATCGACAGGTCAATTCGTGCGTACTCTAGACTGACTATAGGGGAACCTATGATTCAACGCTCTATACAAGGATCTGTGAAAATTTTGTTCTATACAACCAGGTCAAGGATCCTAGGAGCTTTCGTTAAAAACTCAAGAGAACTGTGGAAAACGCTACTTAATTCGAAACAGATTGCACCAGATACTATCAAATGCAGCATATAAGGTGAAGCATTGTATCCCATATTCTTCTGCATAGGTCCAAATAATCACCAGAAGTGGAAATGGATACAAGTTCAAGATAGGAATCACCATCAGCCATCTTTTCCACATGGATTATATCAATTTATATGCTAAAAATGAACGAGACATTGACTCGCTCATCCATTTAACTCGGATCTGCAGAGAGCACATTGGGATCCCTTTCGGATCGGATGTTTCGAAAGAAATGTAGCCGAATGGTAGTAAACATATAGATTAGCTACAAGCGCCTTGGTATTCCACAGTCACTTGGCACGCATGATGAGAAGGCACAACAAAGTGGCTAAAAAAAGCTAGTTTAAAAGATGACACTATATCACCAAGGAAGACTATATGATGAACCCTGAACAGCTCAGTGGAAAAAAGAAAATCCATATCACAAATATGTACGCCTTGCTAGTCATCAGGTGAGCAGTTGACATAGTAAAATGGATAAAAGAAGACATGGAGGCTGTTGATGTAAAGATCACGAAAATTTCCATTCCAAATCCAACACCCAAAGACTGTCCACAAATCGGAAAGAAGATAGAGCTTGGTAGGTGTGAAAGCCACTGTTTTGAACGAAACTCGAAGCATTCAGAAACACATCAACAAGATGGCACCAAAGGATAAACTGCTAAGAGAATGTCTTAAGCATTTACAAAAACTGGAAAAAGACGAAGCAGATATACTATGGATATACTAAAGCAAGAATGGCATGAACCATCGATAGATAACTCAAATAGCTGACATTGAGAAATTTTACCAGTGTCTGGAAAAAGCTAGTTTGAAAGATGGCACTGACTATAGCAGCACTCATACTAAACACCAGATCCATTGAAGCAGGGATCTGGGACTATACCGGACAGTCTCAAAATCCAGATTGTACAAAAAAGGCCTCAGAAACTGTCCATTACATAGTGGCAAAATGCATGATGCAGGAAAGAACAGCATACACTGAAAGATAAAGCCAAGTTGCTCGTCTAAAGAATATTTGCTCAACATCTGCACATAGCTTAAATCCTCCCAAGACTAAATGGGAGATTCCTCAGAAAATCATAGGGAATAAAGCGAAAACTCTGTTACGCTATTGAAATAGGAAGATGAATTAGCAACAGTGGCAGTGTTAGTCGAATGAGGAAGAAGCCGTATGACGTCGATGTATTACATATATGTGAATATTTCATACGCGTATATATAAACGTACGTAGCATTGAACGATTGTTGAAATTCGTTGCCACGTGTGCTGTATATTGTATATTCATAGTGCTTGCCAATCAACCAGATATTATGGTAATATACAAGAATCGAAAACAGCACTGGTGACAGATCTAGCAACATCAAATGATAGGAATATTAAGAAGGAATAAAAAAAGTGAGAGATTTACGAGGAATTAGAAAAGATATATGAAGGCAATGTAATCACCGTGGTAATAGGAGCAGTAAGTATTTTAATTCCTAAAAGATGACCCACACCACTCACAAGAGGTGAGGATTTTCTATGTATATATACTTATATATATATTACTTATATCACTGGATAATCTAGTTGTTATAATATTGTTGTTAAGTATTATTATTGACGAATCTAAAAATAAAATCTTTTATATTAACTTAAAAAGAATTGAAAAAATTGTTTTTGGATAAACATTAAGATATTCGTATGTCAATAATTGGCCATAAATAAATTCGGATTTCTGAAATCAAATTCTTTTTTTCTTTAAAAATAATTTTTTTACAAAGAAATAATAAAATGCCAAACATAGTAAAATATGAAAGTGCATAAACAAAAAATAAAAAAAAGGAACCATCTAAAAGATTAATAATATAATTGATTATTTTTATTATTGTTACTAGGGATAGAATGGCTCAGTGGGTTGTTGTTCAATTGGAATGCTGAGAATCGATTGCCCGCAGGAGTGAACCTGTACAAAAACCCAGGTGATGCTGGCGACTCACCCGTATTTCTATCGCCAAGGGACTCCCTGGCTTATTGTCCAATGCGACAAGCCGGTGGAGCGAGTCTAACCAGTAAAGGTAAGGACTCTTAAAAAAAAAAAGTTATTATTGTTATCAATATTGTTACATTATTATTGTTACTTTTACTATTATTATTGTTAATTACCATTTTTTATTATTAATCATCATTATTAATGATATCAATTATTATTATAATGAAAACTCAGATATAGATAGACGATAAGAGATTTAAAATAACATTATAAGAGAATGGATGCGAAAAGAATCACAATTTTTAATAAAACAATTTTAATAAAATTTTGCTATTATCAGATTCAATTCCATTCCATAAAAAATTTTCAATAAAAAT